TTTTTTGAGCTATAGAACTCCTAGAAATGTCAAAAACTGAAAGAGGAGATAGATTTTTTCTGTAAAAAACGTTCAAAAATGACCATTTTTGACATTTTTTCTTCCTGAAAACGACCATACATGAATCTATAACCACTAATTAATTTTTTAAGAATCATTTGAATCATCTTGGAACTCCACAAAATCAGATAAAAAATTCTGAAATTATGGTTTTAGACCTGCAATTGTGATCGCGCCAAACTTTTTTCTGTAGATCAAAAATTAATTAGCAGTTCGGAAATGTTCTGTGGGAGAGCGTGCTTCGGAATATATACATTTCTGAGATCTTATTCACCGAACGAAGAAAATTGATAGTATGCAAAACTCACAAATTTTGGTGAATTCGGAAACTCAAAAATTTTGAAATTAGAAATGCAATTGTAAGGTACAGTAAGCGGAAGCCAGGAGGTTGAGCCCCCGACAGGGGGGCGTAAACCGACTGGTCATATCCAAATTAGTTGGTTCAAAAAATATTGATTATAAAGGAAATAGGCAGGGCCTGCGACGGTTTTGGAACTTTTGAATTTTAAATTTGAGTTTTTGAAGTTCGAAAATTCGATACAGTTCTGGATCCTTTTAGAACGAAAATGCCCTCTACTCACGATTTGTAGTCTCCATTGCTGACACTTAAAACTCTCAGAGACCATCCATTCAATATTTCCACTCTCTTAAACTCACCAACACGAATCGAACGCTCCTCGAAGTGTAAGAAGTCTCTGGAAGTTTTGAATTTCATTTTTTGAAAAGTTCGAAAACCGCGCCCCGTTATCTTTCAGAAGTTCAGAATTTTGGATTTTCAGAATTCATGAATTTGCAAATATCAGACTCGCAAAATTCCAGAATCTCTGAATTTCAAAATGTTAAAATTCGTGAATTGCTGAGGCTCAGAATTTTGAAGTTTCAGAACTTCAGAATTGCGAATTTTCAGAAATATCAGAAATTCAGAATTTTAGATTTTCAAAATTTTGGAAATTCTGAATTAATGAGTCTCAGAATCTCGAAGTTACAGAATTCAAGACTTCTAGAATCAGAATTTCAGGACTTTAAATTTTTTCAAGATTTTCAAAATTCAGAATCTTGGAATTTCAGGTTTTTAGAATTTCACATTTTCAGAATCTCAAAATTTTGAAATTTCAGAATCTCAGAACCTTAGATTTTCAAATTATTAGATTTAAGAATTATTAGAATTTCAGAATTTCACATTTTCAAATTCTCAGAACAACAGAACTTCGGAATCTCAGAATTCCACTTTCAGTCAGAATTTCAGATTCTCAGATTTTCGAAAAAAAACTCACTGATTTCTCGGGAACACAAAATCCCCTCCCAACGCATCATATTCTGGCTCTGTGAGCAACAAGATAACACATTTGACACGTTGCTCAATAACCATTTGCCAAAAGTCCGCCGCTGTCTCAACCAATGGAAATTGGGTCAAAATTGCGTTTCTCTGATTGGACAGCTCCACAAAACTAGCATGGATGTACGTGGAATCAGAGAGAGTGACACGAGAATGATCGAGACAGACGACGTCGGCGAATCGATTCTTCTCCATGTTCTCCACGAAATTGTGCTTGGTGACGTGAGGTGGAATGTAGCTGGCCACTTGGTGGAAGTCATTCTGAACATTTAAATGAAAGACAAAGAAAATAAAAGAAAATTCGCTTTTAGTCGTGATCTTTATATAAGTAGCCACCACTCGCTTCGCGCTCGCTCACCATCGCCATCCTTGCATCCTCCGCCACAAATCGTTTCGCCAGACCCAACCATTTTTGCTTCTTCTCCTCATTGTTACTATCATCATCCTTCTCCTTCTTTTCTTCCTTTTTCTCTTCTTTCTTCTCTTCTGGAACATTCTTCTTCTCCTCCTTTGTCTCTGATTCTTCCTTTTTCGACTTGATCTTCTGCTTATCTTCCTTATCAGTTTCCTTCTCTTTCTCTTTTGAACTTTTTGGTTTAACCGGAACCTTATCCGGTGAAACCGGTTCTTTAGAAAGAGGTTTTGTTTTATCAAAGTTTTTGACTAGCACAATCTCGCCCAATTGCTCATTTGGCACCGGAGCCAACGGTTTGACCACTTTGCTACGTGGCTGTTTCTTGGTGGTGGTTTTGGACTTTTTGTGGTGTTTTTTAGCAGAGGATCTCTTCTTCTTCTTGCCACGACAACACAAAATTCCAGTCTTTTTGCTTTTTGAATGCGATTTTTTGTGGTGCCGATGATGTTTTCTTTTCTTTTGTGGAGTCTTTGACGGCTTCACAACTTCTCCTTCCATATTGCCTCGGTGTTTTTTCCAGTTTTTTGTGACAATTTACTTGTGAGAAATAACTGTTTTTGCATGCTCAACTCCCCTTCTAAAACTCATTTTCTATCACGCCAACCTAACCTAAATTCAAACTCGCGCGCTTCGGCTTCACACCGTCTGCAAGTTTGCGCCGCGGTGTTTGCACACTGTCTGCGCCTCTCGGATTTGCATGGTCTTTTTGTTTTGGCGCCAAATGTTGTTTATGTAAACAATCCGGAAAAATAATTGAAATTTTTCCCCTAATTTTTTAGTTTTTTTCAAAACTTTGATGATTTTTTTGCAATTTTTTGAAGATTTTTGAATTGAATTAGGATAATACAGTGTGTGTGAAGGATTCTGGGAATCAAATTTCCGGAAAAATCTCAGAAATTTTTGGATTTTTTTCATAATTTCGGAAATCCCAAAAATTTTTCAGCGAATTTTAGGAAAATGAGTATGAGAAACATGAATAAAATGAAATTCTCAGAAATTTTCGAACAAAATTGGGGTTTGCCCTAAATTTTTATCAATTTTTCAGTGTCATTTTGATCAAAATAGGACTTTTTGGAATAATTTTTTTTTTCAATTTTAGAACTTTGAACACCATTTTTCGACAATTTTCTCACAAACTTTCGCCAATTTTCTCAGTTTTCTGCAACTTCTGAACAGTTTTTTCACCAATTTCACTCGAATCTCACTTGAAATTTCTCGATTTCCGCTGATTTTCCCATCACGATAGCCCCCGCTCTCCAATTATCACTCAAATTCCTTCCAGAAAATGCGCAAGCCGTGGTCCAAGACCTTCAGCTTTACTCCAAACTCAGCTACCGAGGATGCTGGCGTGCAGACCAGCACCATCACCAAGAAGCTCGAGCCACTGCTTCTCGAGGAGAACGGTCGCATCAGACCGGCTGTCGACACTGGCAACTACGTCTATTTGATGTTCATGATGTTCGGATTCGGTGCTCTTCTTCCATGGAACATGTTCCTCAACATCTCGCACGATGTGAGTTATTCAAATTCTTTGCTTTTCTAGATTTTGTTTACAGTACTACACCATGTTCAAACTCCGCGCTTTCAACGAATCCTCGAGCGCTACTCTCTTGAACATCTCTGACTCCTTTGGTTACTCCACGTGGCACTCTGAGAACTTCCAATATTCCATGACCATCTCCGCTCAGTTCCCTAACTTGCTCTTCAGCTTCGCCAACATCTTTTTGGCCACCAAGTACGGTTAAGGCTCTAATTTCCAGAATTTTTAAAAAGGAAATTTTCCTCAAAATCCGTGTATATTTTCCTTCAAAATTCCCATATCTTTCCAGAGGAGACCTCACCGGCCGCATGCGTCTCTGCCTTGCTGCTGTCCAAGCCATGGTCCTTCTCACCATCATCTTCATCTACGTGGATACCACTACCTGGACCGCGTCCTTCTATTATCTCACCCTCTTCACCATCTTCGTTCTCAACGCTGCCAACGGTCTCTTCCAGAATTCGTTGTTCGGTCTCGCCTCCTCGTTCCCATTCGAGTACACCAATGCGATTCTCATCGGACAGAACTTCTGTGGAACCGCTGTCAGTGTGCTCGCCATGTTCACCAAGGCAGTTTTCACCGAGGAAGTGCAGAATCGTGCTGCTCTCTATTTCGGAATCGCGTCGATCGCTATCATCGTCTGCTTCATTCTTCTCAATATCATCAAGAAGATGACCTTCTTCAAGAAGTACGACGTCGCTGAGGCCAATGCTTACGAGTTGAACCATGAGATCACCACCTGGGAAGATGTTAGAATTGCCTTCACTAGAGTCAGTACCCCCAAATAGAATTATCGTAATGAATTCTCGATTTTTTCAGAGCAAAATGCAATTCGCCAATATCTTTTTCCTCTTCTTCGTGACTCTCTCCTTGTTCCCATCCATCTGCATGTACGTTCGTGACGCTCCACCACCACTACCACACAATTTTCTGGTCTCAGGTATCAGGGAATCAGGTTTTATCTTTTAGTTAGGATGTGAAATTCAGAAGCCTACTTCATGGACGTTACCACTTTCCTCAACTTCAATCTGTTCGCTTTCCTCGGAAGCTTGACTGCTAACTGGGTCAGATTGGTAAGTTTTCGAAAATTTTCCAGAAAACATTGGTTTAACAAAACCGTAGCCTGATTCAATCCAACCCTTTAAAATCCCCTTTTCTCTTTTCAGTTCAGCCCAAAGAAAATCTGGATCGCCGTCGCCGTTCGTGTCTGGTTCTTGTTCTACTTCCCACTTGCCAACTACTTCCCAACCAATGTCGTCGATGGCCGTAACTTTCCCCCACTCTTTCCATCCACCTGGATGTTCGTCTTCAACGTCGCCTTGTTGGCCTTCTCCAGTGGATATCTCAGCTCATTGGTCATGATGTACGCGCCAAAGGCACACGAAGAGCCACGCATTCAGCGTATGGCCGGAATGATCGCCGCCTTCTTCCTCATCGCCGGAGTCGTCGCTGGTCTCAGCTTCTCCTGGGCCATCAAAGTTATCGTTGTGGGATTCTCCCAATAATTTGTCCCAAAACTTTTTGTTAAACTAGGTGCTACTTTTCTTTCAATTCATCGGCACCCCAATTTGTTACCATTGTTCTTTTTTGCTGTTCTTTTTTATCTTTTTTTTACCTTGTTCACCACCCATCATCATGCGGGACTCTTCACCCGCCCATTGTTACATGTTGTTGTTATTTGTGTGTGCGCTGGCGCCCCAATAAAATTGAAAAACGCCACCAGCAGTGTCTTCTTATCAGTACTCGCAACATTTTTTTTCTTATTTTCTTTTCTTTTTCTCTCCATCTCTAATGATTTCCTCCTTTCTACCCCATTCCATTCCTCCCCTTTTCGAACCTTCTTTCTTTTTCTCCCATTTCGAAAATGGGAAAAAGAGAGAGTTTAAAGACCCAGAGAAGTAAAGGAGAGCTCGTCCCGTCCTTCTCTCCTCCGGACACTACTATTTTCCCTCCTCTTCTTGCTCAGAGAGCACACATGTGAGTGTGCTCCCCGAGCCCAAAGTGTACACATGTTTACAAGCCCGGGACCAATTCCTTTTGCACTATATAGTGTTGAACTCAAAAATCTGTTAATTTTTCAACAAAAACAAGGAGGGTTTTTTCTTGTTTTTGTCTCTTTTTACAGCCTTTTTTATTGCGCCGTTTTTCTCTCAAAAAGTTACAAGTATTTTTTTTCTCCAACCAACCTCCACTAATCTCTTACTCTCTAATCGCTTCGTCATCATCCTTTCAATTTTTTGGGGGGTTTTTTGTGTCTCGTTTCACAATAGTTCTCTTGTAATATTTATGTTTGCCATCCCCACGACTGTTTTATCTAGGCGAAATTGGGAACAAGATATGTCAATAGCACTTACTTACTCTCTACAAAAGTGAACATTTTCTGGTGCAGAGTTGTTTGGTTTCAATTTCTCTTCTGTTTTGTTTGATTTCTAGGAGTTTCTAGGGGAAATTTTCTTTTTTTAAGACAAAAAATGCACTTTTTTTCTGAAAATGTCGATTTTCCGAAATTTTCGCCTAAATTTTGCCTCCAGATTTATCAAAATTTTCAATTTGAAAATCCAAAAATTCCTCAATCAAAAATTCTGTTTTAATGCCGCGGCACCTGCCGGAAAATTCAAAAAATTTCACCCAAAATCGACGAAAATCGCTTCAAAAACTTTGACCGCTTCGCAACCGCAACGCATCTAGAAGCATTGAAAATCGGCGCGAATACTGAAAATCGGAGGTGTCTCAATTTTTTATCAAAATTTTCTTGAGGAATTTCGATTCTTCTGGAAAACCTGAAAGTTTTTTGTCTTCAAATTTAAATTAATTAGAAAAACTTCAAAAATTGCAATTTTTCGATGATTTCCAATCAAAAACATGTTTATTTGCAATTTTCGGCTCAATTTGCATATACACAATATACATTTTGGTTGTTGTATCACCAACAACACTCATCAAATATTAATAAATTCATGAAAGTTGTGTATGTGCACCGCCCATCCAGTTCCTCTTTATTCGTATTGAATTCGGATCAGTTTTACATTAATTGTAAACATCGAAAACTGAAAGCTACTGAAATATTGCCAAAAATTACAAAATTCGGGTTAAATCCCATAGAAATGTGAGTATTTTTTTTAATTTTTAGAGAATGTAAATGCGCTCAATGGCTAATTTGTAGAGGGAGAAGAGCCCCTACTACGTCACTTTATGTGAGACATATCCTTTGCAACAAAAAAAATGCTTTCCTCCTTCTCCTCTATTTTTTCCTTTTCTTGCGCAATTCATTCCGCATCAATACATATTTTCTCTCCTCTCCTCCTCTCCAATGCTTCCGGTGTTATTTATTTCGATTTTTTGCTGATGCTGACGCTGTTTGCACCTTGTTTTCTCTTTTTCTCCTACACAAATACACTTTCCCTTTTTTCTCACCCATATTTATTTTCGCGCCTTTTGATGACACCCCGCCTTTTTGGTTCTAAAACGTTTTGAAATTTTTTGAGAATTTCAGCGAATTTTCCTGGAGTTTTGAGGTTATCAATATTTTTAAAGCAAAATTTCATCGTTTTCCCTTGTTTTTTTTATTGAAAAAGACTTCATTAACCGGTTATCTCTGAAATTTAATCAGAATGACCAATTAATACATTTCAGTAAACATGTTGGGGTTTTCAAAATTTTGAATTCTTAGCCAACTTGTTTTCGAGAATCCGACAATCCGAAATTTCCAGCCTGACAAATTAAGTTTCTCATGCCGAAAAGCCCGAAAATCACCGAAAATATCGAGAAATTCGCCCAAAATCCATTGAGATCGCTTCGAAAAATTGCGACCGCTTCGCTGCCGCAACGCGTCAAAAAGTATAGGAAAGCGGCGCGAATTTTAAATTCTCAGAGTTTCGAAACCTGAAAATTAATTTAGAATTTTCAGCCAATTTTCGAATTTCAGATTCAAAAATTGGAAAATCCTAATTTTCCCCATTGAGAATCTTTATTTTTAATGCCGAAAAGTCCAAGATTTTTATCGAAAACTCCATATTTTCACCTGAAAAACTGCGCCCGCTTCGCAGCCGCAACGCATCTGAAAGCATAGGGAAGCGGCGCGAATTTGAAATTCTCAACATCATCGGCCATAAAAAAAATCATTGGGAAATTGTCGATGTTTCTAGAAAAATCCCATTCCTCTGCTGATTCATCCATCTAAATATTATAAAATATCATGAAAACAATATCACATTAAAATTCCTTCTCCGCCCACGCTAACATCTAGCTGCTGGTATATTATTTATTCCATTCCATTTTCAAAACCATTCCAGAACATTTTTTCTGTAGAATCTAGAAAAAAAATCTGAAAATTTCTATCTAGAACATTTTTCTTCTTCTACTCTCACTGTAGAAGAATAATGTCAAGAGAAAAAGAAGAAGAAGAACGAAACGGTAAGTGTTTTGTTTTTCTATCAAATTGCGTTGTATAATAAATAAAACGGGCGGTCTCTCTCGCAATGTCCCTTTAAATCTCTCTTGACTAGTGGAGACTGGTTTATGCAAATAACCATCATCACTCAGTAGAAGGAGAAGAAGAAGAGGATGAACTAATTGGATCCCTATAGAGAAGAGAAAAAAATCAGACTAGTTCCCATAAAAAAGGATACGCCCAAAAACCTTTTTTGAAATTTGAAAAAAAAGCAAATAGGAAGGTGTTGGCACGGTGCCAAGAAGTCAAAAATTGGAATTTAGTTTTTTTGAGATTCTATGGAACTCTGAGAATCTAAAATTTTAAAATTCCACAGAAGTTTTTGAAGAATTTTTGATTTTCGAAAATCAGGATTTATTTGAATTTTGGTAAATCTTTTCAATTCGAAATCTGCTGTAATTTCGAAAGTTTTGAGATTGCAAAGATTCCAAAACACAAAATTTTGACTCCTGAGAATATTTCTAAAATTTCTGAAACCCATTAATTGAAAGATTCCCGGAAATCAAAAATTCCAAGAATCCACAAATTTAAAAACCCGAAATTTCACAAATCTCAGATTTTCGAAAGTTTGAATATTTGCTTTAAAAATCGAGATCCAGCAAATATCAAGGGATATCTTAGTGGGTGGATCTCCAAAAATCGACTTTTTCGGGTCTATAAAAATTTCGATTTTTCAATCTGTGATTTTTACGAATCCAGGATTTTTAATTTCTAAATTTTTATGAGTCTTGAATCTTTGAAATTTTCTGAAATATCTAAAACTTATTCCAAATATCTTAAAATACACGATTAATTATTTATTGAAAGATTAATTACTTATTGAAAGATTTACAAAAATCCACGAATCCACAAAGTTGAATATCCGAAATCTCTAAAATCTCAGATTTTCGAAAATTGGAACCTTTTCTTCAGAAATAGGGATATATCAGATTCCAATTAATTTTTTCTGAAAAAAGTGGGTTGAGCTGGAATTTATTATTTTTTTTTCGAAATATCCAAAATTCGACATTTCCGGATCCATAAAAATTCTAAAATCAGCAGATTCCAAATCTTGAATCTCATCCATCATATTCTTCAGTTGATATGTCAAAACAGGTGTCAAAATGATTGATGACGGTGTTGTTTCGTTATTGAGACATATGATAACATATGTGTCTTCTTTTTAAGCTACGTGGAAAGTTCTAGAATTTTAAAGTCTCGAGCAACTTGGAAGGATAGAAGATACCGTAAAACCGGTAATACAAGGGCCCCAACACTGTCAATTTTGAGCTCGATTATCTCGGCTCCTATGAAAGATAAAAACATTTTGTCAACTGGTAAAATGTTGCTGATACTATGATACAAAATTTATCAGTTAACAACTTTTTCCTATTTTTCAAAGTATCCGAGATAATTGAGCTCAAAGTTAACGGTTCGGCATGTATTAGAGGATATACGATAATCCAAAACCATCAGAAGCTAGATGAAAAATAGGAATTGCCACGTGGTTTCTATTCAGGAAGATTTCAAGAATCTGAATAGTGAAGGATATATGAGATTTGGTAAAAAATTCGAAAATTTTCAAACACTTTCTTGTTTACTGGATTTCTCATCTGACTCGGTTTTTCTAGCTTCAAAAAATTGATTTCAAAATTGTTGATTTTCACCAAAAACTTTTTTTTTGAAAACCTTCCAACTAATCCCATTGTCCTCTCTCCCCATCTCTCTCTCTCTCTCTCTCTCTCTCTCTCTCTCTCTCTCTCTCTCTCTTTCCTCTCAATGACAGTGTTGCCTACTTGGCCAGCGTCCTCTGTCACCTTCCCGGGCTCCGCCCACATTTTGCTGTTGCTGGTGAAAACCACACACACACACGCAACCAGTCACTGTCGCGTCTGTTTTTCGCGATTTGCCCTTGATCGAATAGTGTCTGGCGTCTCTCGGGGACCCATACACTATTTTTATGTGTGCTCTGTCTTTGTTTTGGGGGCGCTGGCCCCTCTGGACAACAGAAAAACCATCAAGGACACAGGCATAGTGCCATATGTTCGGATTGTGTCCGGCAGTTGGAGTGTCCGATGGGGAGTGACTCATACTCATTGATTCTGGAACATTCTAGGGTTTTCTTGGGATTTCTGGAAGCCATTCGATCATCTTGTAGTTTCTAGAACCTTCTATGGAAAGAGTGGTAAAAGATCCCTGGAAGATTCTGGAAAATCTTGGAAATCTAGGATCGTAGTTCCCAACCCTTCTAGAGCCTATCTAAAGTTTCTTGGCTAGCTCTGGAAGAATCTATATTTTTCTAGAGAACCTTCTGGAACACTAGGTAATTTTTTAAAGACCAGAAATCTAATGGTCTATAGGAACTCCTTTAGAAGTTTTTAGGGTTTTCAGAAAAGTTTTTAGAGCGTTTTATAGATCTAGAATACCTCATTTCTCATCAGGATGTTTCTAGAACCTTCCAGAAAATATAATTTAAAGCAGCTAAATTGGATATGATAGAACTCGACGAGTACTACAAAATGGTACTATTCGGGAAATTATATCTTGTCTATGAACAAAGTTACAAGCCAAAAATTCCTTTAAGTTACGCGGACGAAATGGCTTTGGAACTTTGTTCATGGGGTTATTCATGCAGCGAAAATATGTATTGAAATGCATTTCCGCGCCTTCGAAATTCAACGCATGAGCGTCGCGAAATGTATTTCAAAGAATTTCGCGACATATCTGTAAATGCATTTCAATACATCGCACTGGCGAGATATTTTTTCTGGAAAAAGGGATGCACCGTTC